TTTTTTTTAAAAAAAATGTCATTAAATCAATATGAAGAAATAAATGCAATTAATTTAAGTTCCACCAACAATACAGATTAAGTGCTCTGAAAAGTGCACCAGGTCTTCTGATGTTATTTATATCATTATAGTCATATTCTTGCAGAGTTGAAATACGTTTATTAACTCTATTTTATAGTCAAAATATAAATTAATGCAAAAATTGTATAGAACAAATCAATTATAAAATTAATATGCTTTTAGCCAAATATATGTATGTCATAATAAGAGCACAAGGAAAGGAAAAGACGGAACGCTGTAGATGCGTGATTAGACCCATATTGAAGAAGATTTTGATTGCATAGTATGCTAGTAATGCTAACTTGGTAATATCTAAAGAACTTGGCAGTCGAGGCAGTTTTAATTCCATTTTTATTTGCAACTGATATTCGTGGCCACAATCACTTGGCACTCTAATCGTGCCTTTCCACAGAAGATTTACATTTTTGATATTGTTCAGATAGAAAGCAAGCCAGCGAAATTACATCTTAGCACAGTAGAGAGCAAAAGCTGAAGTGCGTCGTTATGAAAGATGGAAGCACGCAAAGAGAAAAGTTTTGGTTTACAATTATTACGTCATCAGAGCTGCGCGGGCCATAGAATGATCTAGAAATGACGCACTGCAGAGAAGTTATTACGAGTTTAGAATAGAGAGGAAGAATTAATGTTTATAATTATATTATAATTCTGATTCATATAATTTTATCTTACATGTATATGATTGTCAAAAAATGGCAATACCTGTTAATAAAACTGACATTTAAAAATGTGCTTCATAAACATTAAAATGTAATCCTAGCTACAAGTTTTTCTTTTCTTTTTTAATATAAAAAGTATATATTGTGTTAGTATGAGGTAGCTTTAGTAAAGTTGCATACGTCTTGGATTTTTGTCAAAAGCATAAAATGTCAGACCTCTCACAGTTTCAAGGAGGCCAAATTGTAGGAGCCCAACTAGCTGGAGCAGTTGTAACTAAAACATCGAACCTTTTAGGCATTTCTAGAGGTACAGTGTGTAAAGTCATGACAGCATGGCAAAACAAACTCTGCAAAGTAAAATAGTGGATAGAAGGAGAAGCTGATTTAAAAAAAAAACCAACTGGCATTGAAGCAGATCGTAATGTACAGCTGCAGAGCTCAATCAGCATCTGTATTCTCCAGTCGCAGTAATTACAGTTAGAAGGCATCTTCATAAGCAGAGCATTTACAGCAGAGCAGCTATTCCCAAGCCCTCTGTCACGCACGTTAATGCCGGATGTCGTCTACAGTGGTGCCACGACTGTAAAACATAGTCGGATTGGTAAGTGGAAAGCAGTTATATGTTCAGATGAATAATCTTTCGCACTTTTCTCTACAACAAAATGAGTGGACATTTGGAGGACACATGCACAAGCATATCTGATCGTAATTGGTCTCTTTCCAGCTGTCAAGTATGGAGGTCGATTTGTTATAGTATGAGCAGTCATATTGTGGTTTTCTGCTGGCTCATTCATAACCCTCAAAGAAGGATCACGGAAGACGTTTTAGCTGCCCAGATCTATCCTATGATGCAAATATTGTTTCCTGCAGGAGATGGAATATTCCAAAATGATAATGCTCCTATTTATGCAGAACTTATCCAATCATGGTTTGATGAACATGAGGATGAAGTAGAACATCTATTTTAGCCTGCACAGTCCCTCGACCTCAATGTAATGTTATGGTCTATTTTAGAGCATTCAATCAGGAATCGATATCTTCCATGGGCATCTATCTCACCCAGAACTTTCACAGTATCTCCATGAAAATTGTACAATATTCATCTACACACCATTTGTATGAGATTCGATTCCCAGGCAAATCCAAGCTGTGTTACATGCCAAATGTAGTTCTATACCGTATAAGTAAAGGATTCCTTATAAATACAAGGTGTTTCTATTATTTTGATAACCACTTATATATATATATATATATATATATATATAATATATATAGATACAAAATATGAAAGCAAACTTCTAAATTTAATTGTCTATGACCTCTTTTATTTTTTATTTCATTTGGGAACTTCATCTTTGTGTCTTAGAAATAGCACTATAATTCTAAACTGCATAATTCAAATTAATCGTGATCTTATCTAACGCTCACAGCAGATATCTCTTGCCCAATAAAAATAATTGTAAATCAAAACTAACTCGAACTGAGAACTTGTTTCATTTGGGTCTTAGAAATAGAGCCATAAGTCTAAACTGCATAATTCAAGTTAATCATGCCATCTTATGTAACGCTTACTGCAGATATCTCTTGCCCAATCAAAATAATTGTTCCGAAACTAATTCGGAACTGAAACTTGACTTCCCTTCCACTTCTGAAGTACTACGACACTCTGTTTCGTCTGGCTTCTGTTTTCATCCTGTTAGCATGCTTTGATGCAATTATCTATGCTCTGCAATGATCTCTTGTATCACAATAGTATCAAAATTGTTTTGGAAGTAGGCACATTTGGAGTGCCAAGTGAATTGTGGCTACAAAATGTGAATTAAAATAAATATGGAATTTATTTCGGCTCGACTGCTTATTCTTCAGAATGAATGGACACTCTAAGCATCAAATATCTACGCCATTAGCATTTCTGTGCATCTACATCTCACTGTTCTTACATTCAGTGCTTCTAAAATTGTGTTAATATTACATTTATTAGTCATACAGGATTGGACTGTGCTACTAACCTCAATGGGACATTTATTCCTCAGTTGGATTTCTGTAAAATAGTATATGCAAATTCATCTTTCTAAAAGATATCATCGACTATTCAAATATGTTGTGTTTTCATTACATATATGTGTGTGTTATATGACGAAAACAAATTTTTAGAAGTACTGAAAAGTGGGAACACTAAGATGCAGAAACAGAGAAATACTGATTGCACATCACTTAGAGAGGACAAATGGTAGATCCATATTGAAGAGGAAGAATTTTGATTGCACAGATTGCTAATCCATAATGAATAGGAAACTTGGTAGTCAAGGTGAATTAAATTCCATTTTTATTTGAATTTACATTTATGGCAAAATTTCACTTGCTATTCTAACTGTGCCTATTTCCAGAACATTTATATTTTTGATACTCTTGCGATAGGAAGAGAGCACAGTGAAATTGCATCCAAGCAGCACACAGGGACAAGCTAAAAGTGCACATTTATCCAATGTGAAAGTTCACTGAGAGAAAGGTTTTGATTTAGGTTAGAAAAGTTTCAGTACTCAAAATTTCAAGTTCTAAATTAGCTACGTCATCGGTGTTATGCAAACAATGTGGCATAGATTAATCTGGAAGTGGCTCAGTTCAGAAAAGTTATTACTTCTTTAAGAATACAAGAGAGAAGCTACTCAAATAAAAAATAAGGAAATAATAGACTATTTCTAAATTCATTTATAAAGCTGATTTTTTTCTGTTACATAAATATAGTACAAAATCTGAAATCAAAACTGTCTTTGTTGGGACTTTGGCTGTTCCAAAGTTTGATTTTTCTGGATATTAAATCATCAGTTTAAATCTAGTAAGATGTCATGCAGAAACTATAAAAAAAAATATGAAATAATGAAGCACCCTAAGGAATTTGAAAATTTATGAATGTAACCCTAATTTTAAAACCGTAAGGAAATTTAAAATTTACGAACAAAAAGCTCAATATTTTTTTTTTTTTTTTTTTTTTTTTTTTTTTTTTTTTGCTTTATTAAAATTTTTTTTTTTCCAGTGTTAAGTTTTTTTAATTTGCATTGTTTTTGTGCTAATACTTTCTCTTTAATTTTATAAAAAAAAAAACATAATTCATTGTTAAATTATAAAATTCCGTTATTCTAATCCTTTAATTACCACATAAATTGTTAATTGAAATTTTTTTATTTTCAATAACCTCTGTGTTCCGGTCAGTAGTAATTTTCTGGATTTAGAAGCTTATTATAGATTTTGCTGTCTGTTAGTTGGTTGAAGGTTGTGGCATTATCATCATCTGTTATTTCATCTTCGTTTATTACTATTTCTCCATATTTCTTTAACAATTCCATTAATTAGAAAATTTCCCTTTTTATTTGCAATATCTGTTGTCTGCAATATCCATCTTTATAATGTATACAAATTTTATGATGTTGCTACCATTATAAAGTTTAGCTAGTATCCAGTATATAATATTGGTGATGTATTACATGATGGGTGAGTAAAGACATTTCTCCACAAAATTTATCTTGCTTTTATCGCACACTGATAAAGTAAAGCCCACATTATATGTTTAGTTATTTATTACATAAGTGTATTTACACCTTTACACATAGTATTTTTTATATGAGATTTAAATTACACCTTTTCGTGTGGAATGTTTTTGTAAGAGTTTAAAAATGAATGTTAAGAAAACCAAGAATTAAAATTTTTGTAATGGCTTTGCCTGGTGGCGAAGTGGCTAACACATTGCCCAAATGCACCGCAGATCTGGAGTTCGATCCCCGGGCTGGGCAAGGTTGACTCAGCCTTTCGTCCCTTAAGTGGGTCGATAAAATGAGTATGAAGTTTGCTCAGGAACTAAACACCGGGGGTCTCACAACAAGCTTGACCACTTGCCCAGGGCATATGCTGATGCACTCCAGGGCCCAAAGGTCAAGAAGCAGAAAAGGCCACTGCAGGCCATGGTCTACTAGGACTGTTGTGCCACTGAGTTTAGTTTTTGTTTTTTAATGAATCATAAAGGATGATTAGCACTCTTTGTTAATTTCTCACATATTCCAAATTTTACAGAATTCATTTATTAAATATGATTATTCAAAATACTTAAATTTTCTGTCTATTCCTAATTACTTTCATTTTTGAAGTGGGCTGAATTATATATAACTGCGTAAGATGCTCTGTAATATATTCCTATATTACATTGCATCTTCATACATGCATGTTTTGTTTTATTTGTGCCTTTTTTTAATCCTGTACTTCTTTTTTTAGGGTGGAAAACCATTAAGTAAAGATTTAATTTGGGCTAGCAAACAGTTCCGTATTTTGATGGAAATGAATTTTAAGGTAATTAAAAAGAAGTTCTTTGAAATTATTTGAAATATTTCTCCTGGAATTATCCTAAGTTTGAAATTGTAAATTTTTAATGCCATTTATAACAAATATAGTAGATTAATGTACCTCAGAAGGTATGGCAAATTACATGATTTCATTTTAAGAAAAAGTAAACGAATCTTATTTTCTTTATGTTAAAAACATAAATATTTGTCTTGTTTGAATATATGCATAAATCTCGTCCATCCTCAGCAAATTATTTTATAATTGTTATCATTTATGAGCTTAAATTAAGTAGTATATTTAAAATATTCTTTCCCAGTAATATACGAGGGCTATTTTTTTTTCAACCTCCGATGGGCTATAAAGAAAAGACGAGTGAATATACAAAAAAGATTTTATTACCAAAAGTAATGTACAGTACAGGTTATTTCTCTACATAATCACCTTGACGATTGAGGCATTTGTCTTATCTGTGAACAAGCTTTGCAATACCCTCTTCATAAAATGTCACCACCAATGATTGGAAGTGAGTTGTGACGGTTTCTTTCAGCTCCACGTCATTTTGGAAGCGCTTCCCGCCAAGCCACTGCTTCAGTTTAGGGAACAGATGAAAGTCGCTCGACGCTAGGTCGGGACTATATGGTGGATGTTCAAAAATGTCCCATTGAAATTGCTGAAGGAGCCGTAGGGTTACACGAGCACTGTGAGGATGAGCATTGTTGTGTATCAGGACAATTCCAGAAGTCAGCATGCCTCTTCATTTGTTTTGAATAGCTCTCCGTAAGCGTTGCAAAGTTTCACAATATGAATCGGCATTAATTATTGTTCCAGGCTGCATAAACTCCATAAGCAACAAACCTTTTTGGTCCCAAAAAACAGTTGCCATAACTTTACGGTTGTTAAAGGTTCGTTTGAATTTTGTGGGTCTCTTTGGAGATTAGTTTGCATCAATAGTTGTGATTGTCGTTTCGTGTCGGGCATGTCATATTGAACCCATGTCTCATCCCCTGTCACAATGGATTTAAAAAAATCTTCTCCGTCAGTATTATAACGGTCAAGAAACTCAAACGCTGCAACCATTCGGTGAGTTTTGTGGTCGTCAGTCAACACTGCGGGACCCAGTGAGCGCAAACTTTTCTGTAGCGCAGCTGTTCAGTAACGATAGAGTACAGGGAAGATCTTGAAACTTCCGGAAATTTCATCAATAATTCACTTATGGTGAACCTTCGATTTTGCTTAACTGCTTGGTCAACTCGTTGAACAATGGCGTCTGTAGTGACAGACTTGCGTCCTTGACCCCCTTCATCATGCACATCAGTCAGGCCATCTTTAAACTTTCGACACCATTCACGAACAACACCATCACTCGTAAAGCTGTTTCCATACACTCGACTCATTCTTCGATGAATTTCCGCTGCACTGTTCCGTTCTGCCTGCAAGAAACGAATAACAGCTTGCAATTCACACTTGGCAAGAGAATCAATAGTGACAGCCATGTTTACGTGACTGCAACTCAACAGAAAATTGAATACGCCAGTGACAGAGCGTGTGGAGGGGGAGATGTGCAGTCGCCTACTACGCACACCAACCACCTACTGCATACCTAGCCATCATACTGTGTGATCGGAGGTTGAAAAAAAAAACAACCTACGTATATTATGTCTGGAAATGGCTTTACACTCCATTTATTTTTGCAATCATTTGTTGTAGATATATATTTCCAGCAATGAAAATGCTTTAAATAATGCAAAATTCAATTTGGCATTTTTAAATTTAAAGAAGTCGATTTTATAACAAAAATACAAAATATAATATTTTATACATTCCTGTGGTCCCTGTACTTATATTTAGAAAAATTTTGACCAAAGTCGCAGATTCAGGCAGAAAATTTTGATCATCACAGGACCTTCCATATACCTATCACTTTTTTACTTGAATAAAGAACTGTCCTTTTTTTCTGTTAAAAGAAGTCTAATGGTCTGTGTTTAGATGCTCAAAAAAATATGCTATTAGAAAAGTGTTGTTACAAATATGTGTAAATACTGTGAATTTCTCCCGCTTTCTTTAGATAGAAAACAGAAATTCCTCTTTTCAAATTTTTTCCTTTTACTTATAATTGTCAGTTGATTTTAATAAGAACAAGTTGAAAATAAAATATGAAGATTTCCGCATTTATTTAAAATGCCCTTCATTTATACAAACAGTAACATGCTAATAAGAAAAATGGTACTGTGTACTCTGGGGCTGAAATTGAGGAAGCTGAGTATAGTTAACCCAATTTATAAATTTTCATGCATATGTGTCTATTTCTTACGTGCATGTTTTTATTTCTTAAACAAATTGGTAATTTTACTCTGTTTTTGAAAATACTTAAATTTTATTAAATTTCACTGCATATTTTGTGAACTGGTATTTTATCATTGCATTCACATCTCCTTTGGTGGATATTTTCAAAGAATTCTCCATTTTTTGAAATGCAGTTGTTGCCTTGACCTCATCACAATTAGATAATTTCTAATTTCTATATTAGGAAGACTGTTTTTCTAGAACTGAACCAGTGTTATTGATTTTACTTTTGACAAAGCTTTTGCTATTCCATATATGGCGTTCAGTACAGTCATTTTTATTAAGAACTTCATTAGATCATCCTCAATGAGGAGATGACTACAAAGGTAAATTCGTCTTACTGATGCTATTACACTTTCGTCCATCTGCTGAATTAAACTGGCAAACATTTGGTGGTAAATATTTAGCAATAATTTGACGATCCATTTATTTTTTACACATTCTCAGTCATAGCAATGATCATGTATGCGTGGGCAGTTACACATGCGGATACTCCGTAAACCAGGTAATCGAAAGTACGCTGTACTAGTAATTTTTCTTTATTTTTAAACTGAAATGCACTTCTCTGAAAAGCTTAAAATAAGATCACACACATTGTGGAAAATTTTAAATTGAACATATAAAAATAAGCTGTCAGTGTACCAAAGTTTTGTATAAATAGTATAATTTAGACTTTTTCCTCAGCAAACAAAGATGCAAAAATGAAATTTAGTCTTAAATAATTTAATTTTGCAATTTGTTTGATGAGAGCTGGATATCCAGTATATCTTGTTTTCCTGCAGTGAAATTGCAGTTATCCACATTCATCTTACCTTTTTTTTTGTTTTTTTTTTTTTTTTTTTTTTTTTTTTTTTTTTTTTTTTTTTGTTTTTTTTTTTTTTTTTTTTTTTTTTTTTTTTTTTTTTTTTTTTTTTTTTTTTTTGTTTTTTTTTTTTTTTTTTTTTTTTTTTTGTTTTTTTTTCCTTAAGATTTGAAGTGCATCATCATTGCAGCATGTTGCCAGTGTATTTGTTTGCCTCTTTTGTTATGACAGCCCATTGACTATTATCCATGGTGTTCACATAGCATTGTGATGTTAAAAAATTACAAAAACTGAAGTATTTGCATTTTATTGAGCGATGCTAAAGGCCCAAAGTCCAGATGAGTATATAATGCAGCGTTCATATGATCCTTAACCTTTTCGCGACGGCGCACCTTTGTTTAAGACGCTCGTGCGGTACGGAAGGGAATGGAACGCAGTACAGGACGGAGGTTTTGCATCGCTAAGCCTAATTTTATAAAAAAAAAAAAAAAAAAAATCTGAAAAAAAAAGTTTCACTTCTAGCCTTGTAATTTTTGGTATCATTTTAGATTATTACTTGAGCTCTTATATATGTTAAAATTAGCACTTAATAACATTTTTTTCTTTATTTTACATGAAAATATACTTAAAAATTTCCTTATCTTGTAAAATAATTTTCGAAAGCGCTATTCAAATTATTCCAAAGTTTTAATTGATAAAATTCATCAGTACAGTCTAAAATTAATAAAACAACACAATAAAGCCTATTTACAGTAAGAAGTAACAAAATTTAAAATGAAGACTGAGTGTGGTAAATCTCAAAGCACGGGAAAGTATCACTTTCTAACTCTTAGAAAAAGAATCATCACTCTCATCTGGTCCGGCGAATTCTAAATGGACTGTAACAATTAAACTAATTAACAAACTACTCTGTAACATATCTTTATCTTTGTTATACTAATTTGTGGAAGATGCTCAGGCTCCCACAATCACTCTCTGCCTTGCCATTGAAGCCAACTCTCCCACAATAACATTATTTTTTTAACGGTAACGATGGCAGTGCCATCTGGGTTCAGAGGGACTTAACACTCCTCCGGATTGAAATTACATTCAAGAAATTATACAAACATTCTTAAACAAAGTTAATATACTTATAAACAGCATAATATACTATTACTATAACCACAGCTATTGCAATACTAGAACAAAATACAATACATATGCAAAAATATCAGTTCAGTTTTCTATCGGAAGTTCGGCGATCTTTGTTATCGCTCTTTTCAATTCTCCTGATTTTGTTTTGATTTTAACCGTTCTTACTTTATTGTCAGATCCATGATAGACTTAACCTGACCTAATATCCATTTGCAAACTGGCAGATAATCCTCCTTGACAAGTACCATAGTACCAACAGAAATATTGTCCTTCTCTATCATCCACTTGTTTCTCTGCTGCAGAGTTCCTAAATAGTCATTTGTCCATTTCTTCCAAATAATCTGAACTACTTTCGTTGTTCTCTGCCACCGGCTTAACCGATTTTCATTTACGTCTATTATCATTGGCTCCAGAATCGTCTGTATTGATCTCCCTATTAAGAAATGACCTGGGGTCAAAAAGTCATAACAATCAGAATCATTGGAAATATGTGTAAGAGGTCTTGAATTTAGTATTCTCTCTACCTTCACAATTATAATTTCAATCTCCTCATATGTAAAACGCAAATTTCCTATCGTTTTCTTTAAGTGATACTTTACGGATTTTACACCGGCTTCCAATCTATTCTTTCGGACATGAAATATGAGGCCAAAGTTTTATCAGGAAAATTAATTACATTGTAAAATTTCTTCAGCATAGAATTTGCTTCTACAAAATTAGGGGCATT